GGTTTTTGCGACATTACTCTTTGAAGATGGGTTGTGAATGACGGGGCAGGTTTTTGAGACATCAAAGGTCAATGTGCTTTAGTTAAGTGGGTCAGTGTTATAACAGTAGGGCAGGTTTTTTACACATTTACTCTTTAAATTTAAAAGGTTATAAATGTAGGGCAGGTTTTTGCGACATTACTTGATGTTTTTAAAAAATTGGGCTGAAATTGAGCTTTTTTTAAGGTTTTTTCAACTTTTCCGGATAAAAGGGACATCAGGGATTTCATCAATAGAAATTTTTTTTTTTGATTTTCTGACCCTTTAAATTTTTATTTTCAAATTTCTGCATGAGTTACTTCCCGTTATTCGTTCCAAGTAATTCTTTTGTTTTTTTTTGGCATGCCCTAGTCCGGGGTGAAGAATTTTTTGGGCCTTACCATCTTATTCAGCACATTTTTTTACTTAAGTCCACATAACTTTTCGATTTTTTAATTGTCTCTTTTACCTACCAAAAATTCAATAAGTGAAAGTAGGTCACACAGCACTCTCAAGCCTATATAAAGGACAGCAACTCACATTATCCTCACTTGCAGTTGAACCTTCAAGGCTCTAACGTCCTTCGTGCTCTGCATTCACTTCTTTACGAATTTACAATTTTAGAATAATACTACACACTCCCTTACATATAACATATTATATATATAAAAATTGAGTTGTTTTTTTCATATTGTTTATGATATTTGGTTTTTTATTCATACTGTTGGTTTTTTATTCATACTGTTTATGATATTTGGTTTTTTATTGCTTTTAGGCTTAGGTTTAGCCTCTTGGATTTTTTGTCTCTTTTCTCTTCCGGTAGTCATGACCGACAGCGGCATTGATTCTCAGAATATGTCTTCTGAAGAAAATATCACTTCTGTTGAAAATGTTGAAAGTTCTGAAGGTGGAAACCTCTCCGCAGCCAAGAAAGTAGAAAACAAGCCCCGGGCACCTAAAATCTGCCCACTGTGTGGTGCAATAATAATCCAGTTAAAACGTCATTTTACTGGAGTCCATAATTTGTCTGATAGAGATGCTGCTGTTTTAAGCAGCCAGGGCGTGACCGCCAAAACCGATAAAAAGGAGTGCCCGACATGTGGTAAATTCGTCACCGAATTGGGCCACCATCTAATTAGAACCCACCACATGTCGACCACCGATCCTGAATACTTCAGGATGACCAGAAGGCAAAGTAGACCTCGCACTCTTACACAGGAGGAGGTAGACGTAGAGACAGAGAGGGCACAAGGTCAGGACGAGGAGGAGGAAGATGACGAATCTGAGAAACCGAAACTCCACGGACGGAGAAACAAGGGTCTTGCTGCAGGCCCTGTCTTGGAAACCCTCGAATTATTTTTTCAACACCTTCAAAGGGTGGATAGGAAAGGCTTGAGTTTAAAAAATGCAAAACAACATAGAAACCAGGTGGAAAATATCTGGTTGAATTATGCTGGTGAACCAAGCATTGATAACTGGTCTAATCCAATCACTTACGAAAGCCAAGGGTGAGAAAATTTTGACACCCTCCACATTGAGGACATATAGTTTTTCTGCGAAAATGTGGGTTGAATATGTTAATATATTGAATGTGTCGTCTGCTATCAGACTGGAGAGGACGTCTACTATGAATGTAGGCTGCGCATGCTCATTGAAGTATATTTCATGCACGAGCTTCACTCACGTGACCAGGGTAGACCGACGCCGGACATCTTACACTCGAGTGAATATGTATTGCACGACATGTATTGCTGGCTTTTATAATAAACTGTATATACATTAGATGTGATAATTTACCTTAACAAATGGTAGCAGAGCGTGTAACGAATCTACGGATGTTATAAGTATTAGATGAAGCGTAAGTTTTATGAAGATTTGTAAACTTTGAGCGACAGTGAAGTGAGAAGAAAGTACTTTGAAGTTGAATTTGGAATGGCGGCCAAAAAGATAGTGGTATGAGCGAAAGAAAACGAAGAGACGTATATATTTTGGTGTTTGGATCTTTGTGTGTACAGGAAAATGGAGAAGAAGAATATACAGCTTCCACAAGAAATCCTCGCTTTCCGTCTACTCAAAAGAGCCAACATAACACCGGAAGAACGATTATTGGTTTTAACAGGGATGGATTACAACAAGATTGATAAACTGTATGAAGATGCAAAACAGTCTTTGAGGAAATTTAAAGGTGACACATGTCCAGGTCAAGTAAGTCAGTTTAATCCAGCCATAAAACTTGAATCTGCTTGTGTAACTGGAAGTCGAAATGAAGAAGCTTTCTTGTCATCTTATAATAGAGGCCCATTTAGGGAACCATGGTGTAGAGACGATCACTCGCATCGATCGAGAAGTAATCCTCCGGGTCACTTTTCTAGGTGACGAGGAACAAGACATCCAAAAAACTATAGAAGGTCGTACTCGCAGACAAGACAGTCAAACCCAATCGGCCATAATGGCAAAATTATGACTTGTAAGTCCTGTGGGTCATTTAGACATCTCATCGCGCAATGCCCAGATAGTTGGGAAAACCTGGCTAGAGTAAACGTTACTAATGAAGAAAATGTAGTTCTTTGGACAGGAAACAAGGCTGAAAATGTTGCGAAATTAGGCGTTGAAGCTCAGAACAGTGTGGTTTTAGAGAGTGCTTGTTCCAGTACGGTGTGTGGCAAGACATGGTTTGACAATTATGTGAATTCCCTTGATACTGGTGAAAAGTCGAAAGTAGTAAAAGCTAACGGAAGTAAGATATTTAAGTTTGGTGGAGGTACATGCCTGAAATCATTGGCAATGTACACTATACAGGCAACATTAGCTGGACATGATGTACTTATAAAAACTGATGTCGTTGAATCGGACATTCCTTTGCTCTTATCCCGTAAAGCTATGAAAAGTGCTCAGGTAAAACTAGACTTGGAAAATGACACGGCAGTTATTTTTGGTGAGGAAGTGATACTTAATTTGACCTCGTCCGGACATTATTGTGTTCCGATTGACAAATGTGATAAACTTAATGTAGAGAGTGTTTTTGCTATTAGAATTGATGAAAGTGACTACAAAAGTCAAAAAGAAGCACTGTTGAAACTTCATAGACAATTTGCCCACCGCCCACCAATAAATTAGTAGCCTTATTGAAGGATGCAGGATCATGGCGTCACTGTTTCCTGGACGTTCTCGAAGTTATATATCAGGAATGTGATCTGTGCAAACAATACGTCAAGACGCCCCCAAGACCAGTTGTGTCGATGCCCATGGCATCTAGATTTAATGAAAAGGTTGCTATGGACCTAAAACTTTGGTGGGGTTTATGGATTTTACATATAATTGACATATGGTCGAGATATACAGTGTCTTTATTTATTGCTAGAAAACGCCCCTGTGATGTGATAGATGGACTGATGGGACGTTGGGTGGCTGTGTTTGGTGTTAAGGGAGGAATTATGACTGATAATGGTGGTGAGTTTTCGGCTGATGAAGTACGAGAGGTAATGTCTAGTTTGGATGTAAAGTTTCTACAACGGCCGGACAGAGCCCCTTTCAAAACGGTCTATGTGAGAGGGTTCATTCAGTGACCGACATGATGCTCAATAAGCTAGAGGCCCAACATAACAATGTTAATAAGCAGACTCTGCTATGCTGGGCGAATATGGCGCGGAACAGTTTGCAAATGTGGAATGGCTTTAGTTCGCATCAATTAGTGTTTGGCACAAGCCCTAACCTCCCTAACTTGATGACTGATTCCATACCAGCACTGGATGGTCTAACAAGCAGTGAACGTTTTGCAGAACATTTGAATGCCCTTCACTCGGCTAGAAGAGCATTCATTGAAACTGAAGCAGATGAAAGAATACCACGCGCTCTCAGAAACAAAGTTCGTGAATCGGAACAAGTATTTGTAAATGGTGACCAGGTGTATTATAAACGGGAAGGCAAAGATCGCTGGCTTGGTCCAGGCAGTGTAGTGTTTCAAGACGGTAAAGTGGTTTTTGTAAGACATGGCGGTGTATTCATTCGCACTTCTCCTAATAGACTGATTAAGAAAAACAGTGGCATTGCGATAAAATCAGACACCAATTTGAACATTGAGAGTGCAACTGATACCACAAAACAGGACATTAACGAGATTCGTTTAGATATATCTGCTCCGCAAGATAATGTTCAATGTGTACCATCAGAAACATTAGCCAAAAATGATGGACTTTCTAGTGGCTGTGGTAATGATGCTATTGGTGTTAATCATAAAAATTTGCGCCCTGATGATGTGATAGAGTACAAGATAGATGACTCTCCAGATTGGATACAGGCTACAGTGTTAAATAGAGCAGGAAAAGCAACAGGTTCTTATAGAAATAAGTATAATGTTAGAGTTGAAGAAAGTGGTGAAAAGATGAGTATAAATTTAGACCAAGTTATATGGAAGAGAAGTAATGAAAATGTCAATGTTGTTATGGTGCCAAGAGCTGACCAGAAGAATCCAGATTGTGTGAAGGCTAAGCAGAAAGAACTAGAAAAGCTGAAAACGTTTAAAACCTATGAAGAAGTTGAAGATAGAGGACAGCCTACCATCTCAACTAGATGGGTACTGACACAGAGCGGTGGTGAGATTAAAGGTCGACTAGTTGCTCGGGGATTTGAAGAGGAGGATACATCCCAAATTGACAGCCCTACTGTAGGAAAAGGTGCTTTAAGAATATTTCTCACCATAGCAGCAAGTCTTTCCTGGACAGTTAAAACAACAGATATAAAATCTGCATTTCTACAGGGACGCAAACTTGAGCGAGATGTGTTTATTTCGCCCCCACCGGAAGCAAATGTGGAACATGGTACTATTTGGAAACTTAATCAATGTCTCTATGGTCTAAAAGATGGTGCTAGACAGTTTTACCTATCTGTTCGTGATGAATTACTGAAGTTTGGCTGTCAACAACCCAAGCTTGATCAAGCGTTGTTCTACGTTTACCACGATAGTAAATTGAATGGTTTGATCTGCTGCCACGTAGATGATTTTTTACATGCTGGTGTGACCAATTTTGACAAGGAGATTATGGATAAACTGAGGAACAGATTTCTCGCTGGTAAAGTAGAGGAGGTCATTTTTAAATACATTGGATTTAAGATTATACAGAGCGCTGGTGGTATAGTCATGGACCAGTCCGAATACATGGAAGATTTGGAGAATGGAATGCTGTCTCCGCAACGGGCATCGCAGAAAACAGAAACTTTGTCGCATAAAGAACAGAAAACTCTTAGACAACTAGTAGGAAGAATAAATTGGGCGGTACAAGGGTCCAGGCCAGATGTTGCCTTTGATATGATAGATCTGAGTACAAAATTGAAAACTGGTGAAGTGAGTGACCTTGTGCGAGCTATCAAAACAATCAATAAACTAAAAGGAACGACCGCAAAAGTCTTATTTCCAAAAATATCCGAAAAATGTGAAAATTGGTATTTGATTGTCTATTCAGATGCATCGCACGCAAATATAAGTAATGGAACCGGAAGCTGAGGTGCGCACGTTGTGTGGTTGATGGATGACAGTAACAGATGCTGCCCCCTCCACTGGAACGCAAACAAAATAAAAAGGGTGGTACGGTCAACGATAGCAGCCGAGGCCTTAAGTCTCCAAGAAGGCTTAGAAAGCGCGTATTACTATAGAATGCTCTTAGAAGAAATACTTCATTTACGAGATAAAACCATCCAAATCATTGCAGTTATTGACAATAAAGGTGTTGTAAAAGCAGTGCACAGTACAAAGCTTGTTGATGATAAACGTTTGCGCGTTTGACATTGCTGCTATACAGGAAAGTCTGCGTTTGAAGGAAGTTAAAACTATTCGATGGTGCGCTGGAGACCAACAGTTAGCCAATTCAATGACCAAACAGGGGGCTTCCGGTAGCTCTTTGCTAAAGGTTCTTAACAGTGGAATGATGCCAAGTGACATGTTCTAGGCATGGTATTTTGTGTGGGCATAATAATCCCAATGAATGTGAGTCTATCCTTTGATCATTCATATTATTTGTGATGTTATTCTGTGATATTATGGGGCAGAATAATCCCCGAGAACTTGAGAATAGTCAAATTCAATGATAGTACTCAGATTGTGAATGGTATAATCTCCGCATTGTATTGTATATACTAAAAATACAAACCAATATTTTATTATTTTAAAAAGACAAAAATAGTTATTTTTATTATATATTTTGCATTTGAAATTTTTGTTTTAAATTTCTTGTCGTGCTTAAAAAAAAAAGAAAAAGAAAAAAAGAATAATATAATCAATGTTAATATATTGAATGTGTCGTCTGCTATCAGACTGGACAGGACGTCTACTATGAATGTAGGCTGCGCATGCTCATTGAGGTATATTTCATGCACGAGCTTCACTCACGTGACCAGGGTAGACCGACGCCGGACATCTTACACTCGAGTGAATATGTATTGCACATGTATTGCTGGCTTTTATAATAAACTGTATATACATTAGATGTGATAATTTACCTTAACAGAATATTTACGTGACAACCAACTTATTACATCCGATCAGAGGCAGGAATGGGAGGTCAGTTTTAAATATGCGGACGCCAACCTTAAAAGGCTTGTGATTGTTCAAAAAGGGCGTTTGAGAGAAAAGACTAAAAAACTCATATTTGATCCCGCCGATTTTTCCGACATTAGAAATTCTCAGGCCTATAGTCAAGGCATCAAGGCCTTGGAAGATGCGCCACTGGGTTCCTACCCAACCAAAATGGAAAGTACCCCTTACAGGGATATTCTTGCCATACTAATGTACGAGCTCTTGATCGGTTCGGGTCAGCGCTGTGGGGCAGTACTCAATTTAACTGTTGGGGAATTTAGAGATGCCAGATTTATTCCCAAATCCAAGTGTCACCTCATCGAATCAAACAATTATAAAACCGCTATGAGCGGATCCGCTCAAATGACGGTCGAGGAAGATAAATGGTGCATGTTTCGCAAGTATCATGATGCTTTCAGGCATCGGGCTCTCCCGGAAGAGGTTTTCTTTTTGTTCAAAGGGAGGAATCCTTTAGAAGAGACGCCTTCATCGTACATGGCTAATGTCCTTAAATGCCAGATATCGAAAATTTTTACACAATATGGATAAATCCGTGGCGCCTACCAGTTTCCGGAAGTCAATAGTAACCAACTTATTGACATCCGACCCCTCGATAGCTCCCGACTTGGGAAAAGTCATGAGCCATAGCACCAAAACGCAAAGGCTACATTATCAGCAGGACCTCTCTGCAAACAGAGCTGCAGAGGTCGGCAAAACAATTGTAGCATTGGGAACGGACTGGGATCTGGTTCGAGGAGGGGAAGGTCTGGATACACGTCTCGACTTGGATGGAGACTGAGGGGTGGTTTGCTGGTCCAAAAACGCACAGAAGGAAGAAAGGTTGGCGGATCTTGGATCACGTGGTGAAGATGCAGATGGTGTGGAAGGGGAAGACGAGTCTGAAAGTGAAAAGAGAAGGGGTGTGCCCTCTCTACAAGAGCGTTTACCTATGTCTGCTGGACTAGGAGTAGGTGAACTTCGGGCTCGTTTAGGGGTTTGGTTCGGCAGCGTGGTGGCTCTAGATGGTGCAGGTGTAGTGTCCATTTCAGTTGGTAGAGATATGGTTACTCTGGTTTTTGTTTCGTTGATTGTTTGGTAGAATTTGGAGATTACAGCTTGAGTGAGACGTTTCCCATAGGAGCGACGGGCCCAGGACAGGGCATGAGAAACGATGCGGTCGACGGCAGGTGATGATAAAGACATGGTACGAATGGTGGTCAGCTTCTCTTGAAGTGTGGTTTGGTAATGGTCGATCAGGACCTGCGTAACCTTACAGAGCCATGTCCGATTGAGGGATCTAATATTCGCGTCGACAGCTGATGTTTTCATTGCTGGACGGATAAAACTATCCAACTCAGAGACTTTGCGTTTGAAGGTAAAGGCTGGTTGGCCTTGCTGTTGAAGGGTAAGGATTGCCAAATGATGGAGGCACTGCAAAACTTGGAAGAACACCTTCACAAAAGGTTCTTCCTCCTTATGAGTGGGGACTGGTTGGCGTCGGTGGGCTGGTAGTCGTTTCTGTTGTTGGTCAGGTCGATGGTTACCTCTTGATTGGTAGGTGTTGTAGGTAGGTCGGCGATGGGGTGGGATATAGCTGGATGGGTTGGTGGTAGGTGGTAGAGGTCGATGGAAGACAAGGCCGTTGTAGGGTACGTGATATTGGTTTGGTTGACGATTAGTGTTTCTATTTCTGGCTTCTTGCCAGTGGTTGTTGTAGTTGGGGAGCATAATGAAAATAACTTGGGGTTAGAAGGGAATGTACAGCGGATGTAACAGGAGGAAACTGTATATGCTAGCGTGAAAATGTTGGGATCAAATTATGCAAATAAGTCAAACTGGGTTTGGGGATATATAAAGCAAGATGAAAAATGCAAAAAAATATATATTTAGGTGATAAATAACGCTCACAATGATGTGAAAAATTATAACAAGTAAAACAAAAACTTACGCAATTGACACGAACCGGTTTTCGAATCTAATAATGTATCACCCTCTGTAGTACTCTCTGTTACACACTGTCTAAAACCAAATCGTTCAAAACTATCCTTAATGGAACTTTGTCCTTCTAATAGATTTTGATTAAAATCTCCCATAACAATATAATGATAACCAGACTCTTGTAACTCAGTCAACAAATGTTCTAAATGAGGCATAAACAATTCTAATCTATATTTTGGTGGTCTATAAATAACTATTATAGAAACATTTTTATCTGGAATATTACAACCAACATGTTCTATATTTAATTGTCCTAATCTTATTATATTACAAGCTTTATTCGTACTATAATATATTCCTACACCACCATGGTCTTTTTCTTTAAGATTTTTAAAATTAGCACTATCATCATAGCTTGATTAAAAAAAAAATAGAAATTATCTAATCGTACTTTCACTGGATTTTTTACATTCCTTAGCCAAGTTTCTGTACAACAAATCATGTCAGAATTCATAAATCTATTATCACTTTTTAAATCTTCAAAATGTGTAGTAAGTCCTTGAACATTGAATAATATAATATTATAACTATTAGGCAACACTTGTTCTTCAGGTTGTAAAAATCTGGGCATTTCATTTAGAGCAGCTTCAATCTTTTCATCACAAAATATAGCTTTTTCATTAAAATCTTGTATTGTCAATCCTTCTAATGTTTTAACACGACTTAATGCAACATATGCTTGACCAGTTTTGAAATATTCTATTTAGCGATACAACACCCCTGTCTAAACTCAAACCTTGTACTTTATGAATGGTAACTGCATAAGCTAGACGTAATGGAAATTGACGTCGAACATCACCTTTATAATTGATATGGGTACTCTTATGTCTCTCGATAGCAATACTAGCAATTCTTTTTTTAAGAATTAAACCAAGTGGACAAGGTAAGTACAATGCATCATAATTCAGATGTATTTATCTAAATAACCACATTATAAATACAATCTTGACAAATTTAGCGCTCTTTATACGCCCACTTGAAATGGGAGGTACTGTATTGTCGTCACTCAGGTCCGTCCGTCCGTCGGTCCCTCATAAACGCTCTACAAGGCAAAATTCTTGACGGATTTTGACAATACTTCGTATGCGTGTTCATAATCACCAAGGATGAACCCTATTGAAAATCAGCAAAAATATTTTCTATAAATCATAGCCCTTGTTCTTGAAAACGCTTTCAATTTTTAGTTGGTAAACACTCAAGAATACACAATACTTGATAAATCCTATTCAAAGTCGACAAATATTTACTATGAATTATTGCATTTGTTCTTCAAAACGCGTTCAATTTTTATCTCTTCAACACTCTAAAAAGCACAATTTTTGACAGATTTGGTCAAAAGTTAGCAATATTCTTCAGTATCATTCCAAAAATTTCAGAAGAAGTGTTTGACTAAAGGTTGTTGGAACGAGTATTTTTTCTGTAATTCAAAATTATTATTTACAATCAAAGCTGCCAGTGGGCTTATGTTACCTTGCCTGGCAAGCTATCTTTAGTATACATCTTCATTTTACTATCGCTACTGCTCTACAGAAATTTTTACTTCCATTAATTTCCTCAACATGCCTGCGATATTGCTTGAGCGCAAAATAGGGAGATCGGCGTCTGACTTATACTGAAAAGTTATACAATGTAATGGATCAAAGTTATAAGTTGTGGCTTATATGTTTTATCTCACAGATAAAAGGCACCCAACTGGGCTATATGGAACACACAAATCAATAAAATGTACTCTACTGGAAAATATGAAAGACAAAGGTCAATAAAGTGCAATTCTTCAAAATGCACATTTTTCAAAATTGAAAATGTTCAACCTGATAAACATACCTTTAATTTATTGCAAAATAGTTATAGGTCGTTTTTACCTTCCATCAAAAATTACTTGTATGTCAAATCAAATGTTTACATTTATAATCCATCAAATCTTTTACATTATATTTGAAATGAAACTATCAACTTTTTTCTTTTGTAGTATAACATCAAAGGTAAAGTAGTCAACATCCGAAATCAAACAAGCCAATATACATGGTGACATCAAGCAATTCCAAGATGTTATATTTCATGACGGCAATGATTATATAACAGTCACATTATTTGAAAATATAGTAGGAAAAGTTAACATTGATGGTAATTATCAAATAACAAATGTAAAACTAAGGATTTATAATGATGTCAAATTGACCTCCACAAGAGAAACAATGATTAATCCAATTAACGAGGAATTTAAAATTCCACCCTCCTTTACTGTAAACAAATCTGAAAGTATAACTGGTACTATCATATCAGCCCGCTTCTCAGTTAAACAAAATTGCCCTGCATGTCAAAAAAGTATGCCAAATATTTTAACTTCTCAAAATCTAATAACTTGTACCATGTGTAACACTAGAATAAAAAAATCTGCCATTATTACACAGGCCACCGGCATATTACAATTAAAAGTGAAATGACTACAGAAAAACTGACATGTCAAAATCACACGCTTTTTGATTTTTTGACTAAAAACTTAATACATCTTTTAGCAAATAAGACAGAAATTGAAGATTATTTTTTGGCAGACGATATTCTCTTCAAATTCGAATTTGACGAACACAAAAACATTACCCACATTACTCAACAATAACGCTCGTCGTATATTGTCGTCACCCCTATCCTTCGGCCCGTCCGTCAACATTTCTTGTGAGCACTTTAGAGACTACAGTTTTCATCTTATTTTGATGAAACTTAGTATGCTTCTTAAAGCTAACATGAAGTCACAAAAAGGCGCAATACCTAAACAAAAAAAAGTATAGGTCTGTATTGGCCTAAGTCAGCTTGAACCGTTTGACTGAAGCCATACAGACCTTTGTCAACTTGAGAAGCAACCAAGCGTAGCACAGCCTCATATATAAACCGAGCCGGCGTGTTTTCGTCTTCACTGTCAACATTGATTTCAACTGGACAACATCTCACAGCTCAAGAAGATTATAATCCGAAAATGTCCGACGAAGTAAATATTATATAATTTATACATTTCCACTGCATCCATTCCATCTCCATTCATCTCAAAACCCTTTATAAACAAATAAAACCATCGGTTTTTGCCACTACTCTATATTATAGGCTAAACAGATGGACTATTGCAATCTGTATTCAATTTCACGAGGACATCTCATCTCTTGCAATTTCACAACATGACATGTGCATAATTTTATGTATGAAAATGGTTGTACCTTACCTTTTCATGAATTATAATATAAGGCGTTCAGTGCAACACACCATTATATTGGTAATCGGAAGAATTTGTTGTAGCAAATCATAATCTTTTATTGATTATCAGAAGTTTCAATTCCATTATTCTACCCCTCTCTCAAAATTGTAAAAAAGGGACGTAACTCATTGCTTATCAGACTATAATACATTTTGCTTTTTTAGGAATTTGTCGATCGTATTGTGAAGAGATATTTGATCAAGAACCAGAAGTATCA